TATTGATTCGATTATCTTTCCATCGACACCACTAAATAAACGTAACACTGATTGTGAAAAAAATAATAGCCACACAATTACCATTAACACTTGTGATAAAACAATATGATTTGTAATTAAAAAATGCTACAATTTAATACAACTTTTGCATAAAATAACAAAATACCTTCATATAGTACTCACGTCCCTTCCCTTCACAAATGTTCACTTTTCTGAGACCCAATCACACCAAAATATACGGGGTAGATTAAAAAGGCGGTACACCTTTATGTGTTCTCGACAGGCCTTATAGTACAATCACCTACAGTGGTGATAGGGGTGATAGTGACGGAGCTGGGGGTAGAAGAGGAGACGGTGCTCGTCTCCACGACCTGCTCCAACTTTTCTTCTTTGTCCTCGTTATTCGGCGGCAGTTTGACAATCTGGCAGTCTCCGACCGTCATGATCTGCGTTTCCATGGCTACTGGAGGCACATTTTCCTCGGGCTCGACGCGAGAGTCGTCGTCGTCTGATGAGGAGTCCGATACGTCGATAGTTCTGTCGTGTGAAGTCTCAGTGTTGATGCTCTGGTCGGTGTCAACGTTGCGGTCGGGGTCGACGCTGGTCACTCCGTAGGCGTTGCTGTAGGCTAGCGGGTTGTAGATCATTTCAGTCAGGTAGGAGAAGTCGCCGAATGGTAAGTTTGTTGCGTTGTAGTTCTCGTTGGGTCGTCCATCTGTAATTATTGATGAAATAAATTATATACACAAAATGAATATATAGTAACTAATATATGTTATTGATCATTTTTTAATTCTGTTTATATTTTTTTATTTACCTAACTACATAATTAATACATACAAGGTGTGCATGCCACATGCGCATTATACGGTGCGTTATTAATTAGCTTAGCTGAGATAGTGATATGCGGTTAAATTGAAATCACTTAGATGATTAGTATGATATTTTGCTGTCGATTCTCTAACTTTTTTAATACTAGCGATTGGATTCAGTGGTCTAAATTAACCTTATTTGTTCAGCCAATATTGGACTATAGAATCGACTATAAATTGTCTACATTTTGATAGATTTATTCAACTTATCAAAGGTGTAGCTTGTAACAAGTTTTAGTTAACCGTTAACCGCAACATCAAGTTATATTACGTCATGCGATTAGTAATTCATAAGATTGATTATTTATAAAAAGGTCTTCCGTTCGTGTTAGTGATTTATCCGTGTGGTGAAGGATTAAGAATACAGAGTGTCACCACCCCTATTTATTCCGTGGGTGTCGTAAGAGAGGACTAAGGGAGCGAACTGTGCAAATAACAGCACTGCAAAAAGAAGGAAAACTTGAAACAAACCCTATACCAACCCGTCTGGCCAACATGGTATAGTAGGCCAAAACCTCCATTGTAAGGAGAGGCATGTCCTATGTCCAGCAGTGGACTGTTGATGTTCGTGTTAGTACATAGGAACATACAGTAATTAAATAGTAACAAATTATATATACGTTGTTATCCTAATATTTAACGAAAGTTTTACTATTATAATATAAAAATAAAATGGGACATATACTTAAAATGATTCTTCATCAAGCTTTAACTAAAATTATACAACTTCTAAATACAGACCTCACATGCAATCCTTTACAATTCAACATCATCAGCCTATCGCAGTCCACTGCTGGACATAGGCCTCTCCCATTGCACGCCACTTAGATCGATTTTGGGCTTCTCGCATCCAGCTCCTGCCAGCCATCTTGCGCAAATCGTCACTCCACCTGGCCTGTGGGCGTCCTACACTACGTTTGCCGAGACGCGGTCTCCACTCAAGAACTCGTTTTCCCCAACGGTTATCGGTTCTGCGGCTAATATGGCCAGCCCACTGCCACTTCAACTTGCTGATCCGGTACGCTATGTCGGTGACCTTAGTTCTCTGCCGGATCACCTCATTTCTGATGCGATCCCTTAGAGAAACGCCGAGCATAGCCCTTTCCATAGCACGTTGAGCGACTTTGAACTTGTGGACCAGCCGTACCGTAAGTGTCCACGTTTCAGCTCCGTATGTCATGACGGGTAGGACGCACTCATTAAAGACTTTCGTCTTAAGGCACTGTGGGATCGACGATGAGAAGACTCGACGTAGCTTCCCAAACGCTGCCCAACCCAACCGAATTCTTCTGTTCACCTCGTCCTCGAAGTTGTTTCTACCTAACTGCAATGTCTGCCCGAGGTACACATAATTTTGAACAACTTCGAGAACGGCACCGTGTACCGCAATCGGTTCCGGTAGTACATGTTCGTTGAACATGACCTTGGTTTTATCCAAGTTCATCCGTAGGCCGATGCGTACAGAAGTGTCAGCTAAGTCATTCAGCATTTGCTGTAGGTCCTGCAACGTCTCTGCCATGATGACGATGTCATCTGCAAATCGCAAGTGAGAGATGTATTCGCCATTGATATTGATGCCACGCCCTTTCCAGTGCAGCGTCTTGAACATGTCCTCCATTGCATTTGTGAACAATTTCGGGGAAATAACGTCCCCTTGTCTCACTCCTCGATGCAATGGTACGGGCCTTGTTTGCTGATTCTGTACTTGGACGGACATGGTGGCGGCTTCGTAGAGACATCTCATCACTTTGATGTATCGCCAATCTACTTGGCAACGCTGCAGGGACTCCAGAACAGACCAGATCTCGATCGAGTCAAAGGCTTTCTCATAGTCCACGAATGCTAGACACAGGGGCTGATTATATTCTTCGGTCTTCTGTATAATCTGCCGCACTGTGTGGATGTGGTCTATGGTGCCATATCCGCTCCGAAACCCAGCTTGCTCCGGTGGTTGGAATTCGTCGAGTCTTCGCGCAAGACGGTTCGTGATGACTCTCGAAAACAGCTTGTAGACGTGGCTTAGAAGGGATATGGGTCGATAGTTCTTCAACCTGGTCTTGTCACCCTTTTTGAAGAACAAGACGACCACACTCCTACTCCACGCTTCTGGAGTTCTCCCTTCAAACAGGACAGCGTTGAAGAGCTTTTGGAGCTCCCTTAATACGGGTTTACCCCCGGCCTTCAGCAGCTCTGTTGTAACGCCATCCTCTCCAGGGGCTTTTCCATTTTTCAGCTGTCCAAGAGCCATCTCGATTTCGTCAATGCTAACTTCTGGCAGGTCTTCGGTGTAGTGACGTGTTAATGTGGCTCTAGAGTCCTCATTTTCGGGATCAGGTCGAGATGCATGCGAAGCGTATAACCGGCCATAGAAGCTTTCCACTTCCAAAAGGACTGCCGGCTTCGAAGCAACGACTTCTCCACTTTCTGTAGTCAACTTTGTCAGGTGGCTTCTTCCAAGAGATTGTACGAACACTTTTGACCCCCGATTTTGCTCGATCGCTCTTTCAATTGAAAGAGTATTGGAGCACCGGAGGTCGTGTCGTACGAGTTTACTGATCTCTCGGTTTAGAGTCCGCTTTGCCGACAAAGTGACAGGTGGGTTTTCACGTCGTTTCTTCATCAGCCCTAGGGTCCTTTCTGAAAGCTTCGACTTCCTGCCCTTACGCTGCATTTCACAAAATCTCATACCTTCTTCCCTGAGGATCTGAACCACATTTTTGAGGTTCTGGTTTACGTCGATTGTGGTTTCCACGGCAGCGAATCGGTTTTCCAGTTTTGACTGGAACGTTTCAGATCCTGTCATGGCTTGGAGCCAAGTTGGTCGGAGCCTGGATTTCATCAAACAGACACGTTCCGCCTTAAAGTTGATATTCAGAGAGCCCCGGACAAGTCGGTGATCACTACCGGTATTAAACCTATTGATCACTGAGACGTCTCTGAATATGTGCTTTCTATCCGTCATGATGAAATCGATCTCATTTCTGGTCATAGCGTCGGGGCTTTGCCACGTCCACTTCCTTTGGGGCTGTTTCTTGAAGAAAGAATTCATCAAAAACAGCCCCTCCCGTTCGAGGAAGTTGACCAGCATTTGCCCCCTATGATTCCTGCTTCCAAATCCATGGGATCCTACTACCGATTCGCCGCAATTCTGTACTCCCACTTTAGCGTTGAAGTCACCCATAACAACGTTGTAGTGGGTCTTAGTTGTGAAGTGGAGGGCCCTCGATATGTCATCGTACATATCCTCCACCTCGTCGTCCGAATGTGCCGAGGTCGGTGCGTACACTTGCACAACCTTGAGGCTATACCTCTCGGTGAGCTTGATAATGAGGTACGCTACCCTGTTCGACACACTGGAAATTTCCACAACGTTGTCAGATAGGGACTTATTTACCAGAAACCCAACCCCACCTTGGGATTGTTGGTCTCCCTCGCGGAAGTACATTAGGTGGCCTGACTCGAGGGTTATGGTGTCCTCCCCCTCTCTTCGGACTTCACATAGCCCTAGGATATGCCACCTAATCTTCCCAAGTTCCACCTCAAGTTGCGCCAGATGCGAGTCTAGCCGTAGCGTGCGTCCGTTGTACGTAGCCAGGGTCAGTCGGTTGTGGTGGCCTCCCGTAGCCCGGAGATTCTTCGCACCCCCTGCCCCGCCTTTACCGTGGTCGCCACCATGACCAGGAATAGCGGGGCCGCCGGGAACTGGGGGCCGTGGCCTTTGTTGCGTCTGCATGGGAGGGGTTTGCCCATAATCGCCACGCTGGGCAGGCGGGTTGGCGATCGCAGGGCGTAGCTTGTCGCACCGGTAACGCTGCTGCCCGTCACCGGCCTGTTGTATTTAGCTACGCCTATTGGGATGGATATACCGCCATCGGTCGGTCGCCAGAGCCTCGTTCGTCGTTCAGCAGGATGCACCGCGGGCAGGTGAGGTTGGCTTGGGGCGAAAGATGGTGGTTCGCCCCTCACACCCCACTACAATTCAACTCATGATTTTATTTTAATATCAAGACTTATTCGTCAAAGCTTTAGGCATAATATTACACACAATATCAAAGAATTTCAAGATTTATCTTAGCCTAGGTGACGAGAATCCAGATCAAACACTCATTCATGGCTAATTAAGTTAGTTAATTAATGTAACGTGGTATAGACAACCAAATATATAAAACATAATGGAATTGTTCAGATTTTGCCTCAAGCTTGTCTGAATATGCGCTGAGTTGAACTGGAAATGATATATAAATTATAAACAGTAAAACTTTGTCAATATACTATAAACAACTTGTAATACCGATTAGTACCGACAATATTCCCCAAATGATATGTTTTAGAATAATTTTAGTTCATGCCTTTGTAATAAATTCAAATATACTAACAAATCTTGTTCAATTCTGCCGCAAGTCCGTACTGGATCGGTATTGACATATCCATATCCATACCTAAAGAAAGATGAGCGTTGTAAAAGCGCGAGCGTTGAACCCAACCTCTACATTAAAATTTACCAAAATGGGAAACCATTTACCAAAGATTTTATGATCAACAAATGAATGACTTCACATAATAAGACGAGACAGGTTATTGTCGTCTCTTTTTAACACACGTATTTACTAACTAAACAAATGTATATTAATAGTATTACTAATTAGAGCTAGTTTATCTCTTACTATTGTATATAAGTTCTGCATTACTTTGTGAGACGGAACTGCTGCCTCTCCTGTCTCTTTTTTTCGCACGCATACACTGACATTCTCTTTTAATTAATTATGTGAAAGTTAGAGTCTTAAAACTGATGACTGCTACCGTCTTTTTATTTTCAAGGCAACCAACTGAGCTATGCATACTTGCCGAATTATTTGTTTGCAGTTTGTAATGTAAATAAAACATTTAAAAAGGTATTCTAATCTTTTAAAAAGTTAGAATAACGTGAAACAAGAAAACAAACTTAAAGTCAAGCCTAAGTTGAGATCAAAATAGACGATTTTTTGTAAAAAGAAGTTTTAAATTTATCTGATTTACTAGCGTCTGAAACAATTCGCTTGTGTATTTCATGAATTTAAATTTTAGCATGCTCTCCTACTTTAAAATAAAACTAGCGTTTATTAAATGTAACATGTCTCGGTAACTTTGAATCGAGGCAAACATGACCCACTTGAAGGAAAACGGTCTTAAACAATTTTTGGTTTTGATTCCTATCTTATGTATAAGTTTTTCTTGTACGAAATGAGGCATGCAAATTATAATAGGCGGATGTGACGTAAGCCCCATTATAAACGGAAACGCTAATGATCCAAGCAGAGGACAGGTCCAACACAACGCAAAAAGCATAATGCATGAAGGCAAAACATTAATGGACATTTCTAGAACAATGGACAGCTTAATTTATAAGTTTTTTGTTCTATTTTGATTGCTAAGATCTGGCGGAGTGTCGACTATCGCAGTTGTTGTTGTATCAAGGTTTGCTACGGGAAATTATAATAGTCTACTGGCTTAGTGTCTATAGTAGTCTATGGCTTTAGCTTTAGAACCCATAGAAGGAACTTTCAGTCAGATGGAATATAACATCGTCAGGTAACATATGACACCTCGTATACTGTACAAACTGATAAACTTGTCTGGAGTCAAAAAACGTTTTAACTAAGTCATGATACACATTTTCCTTAATTTTAACTTAAGTAATTTTTTTTTATTTAGAACAAATTTATCTGGAATTTTGTAACTTAACATTTTACCAAAATGATTTTTGTTTGTTTCTTTTTTTTTTAAAAAGACAACAAGCACTATGAATAAATCCTGTATAGAGGGGGAATTTACAAACATACATGAAACGGACACAAAGGACACCCAGACTCAAAACAGCAACTTGGGGACCACACAAAGTGTCGTCCCATGTGGGGATCGGACCCACAACACTCAGCGTAGTAGTAAGCGGCATGGCGACAGCTTAAACACTACGCCATACAACCATACGTAGTTACGAGGTGCCAAATCTAGACCTACAATATACGACTTCCTTACTATACCACTATATAAATATATACTAGCTGTGCCCGTTACTTTAGATATACTTGTAAATAAAAAATATTTGAAGTATTTCTTCAAGATTTGTAAGGAAAACGACACTTAGAAACTGCCTTGAGTCTACTCATACACGGAATGTATGTGCACGGAAAATAAACAAATCAGTAGACAGGATGTAAAAGGAATTGTATTCAACAATCGCGTTTCTCATAACAGTTAACAATAACAGTAAAATATCTATGTCCAATCTCTTGAAATGTCCACAATATAACACACACATATTCATAAAAAAAATGTATAAAACTCACACACAAACAAAAGTATATATGAATACAAGAACACGTGTTGGTAGGTAATACAATACGCGGATATTTTTCATAGCAAAAACATTCAGTATAATGAAGTTTACATATTCAAATTGTAAAAGCAAAAACATTGTGATTGTAACATAGGGACTATGTACTTGTTTTGTGTTCAAATATTCTAAATATTGTTGGGACTCATGATATTGACTTATATTGCCTACTGACTTATAATTTTTTGAATATTTTTAATATAATAAAGGCAAACTCAACTCGTGTCGAAATAACCATAGACACAGAATCAATATTAAGGTAAACATTGCACAAGACTAATACTATTTTACTCAATAAAATAATTAAAATATTCGAATTGAGAACTTGTTTGTCGGCGGTTGAAGGGTGCGTATACAGATTAGATATTACATTACGATATTACCCGTACATATATAAAAAATAAACACGTGCGGAGATATAAATCGCAATCTATCTGTAGATTTCAATAATAAATATAATGGTTAGTCATCTAAGATAACTTAAGTGGTATTGTAATATTTAATTGAATCAAAAAATATATAAAAAAAAATAAACAGATCAGAATGCATTTGCTGTAGAATTTGTTCAATGGACTATACTGAATATTTTATAGTATATTTATAAAATAAAAAAACGCATTCTTACATTTCATTTTTGACATTAAATTTATAGCTTAAACATCGATTAATAGACACCCTCCAAATAAAAGTATTCAATATCAACATTTACCATACATTATCATGCATTTTATTTTATGTGAACAGAGAAAGAATAGAATACATATTAGCAGTTTCTTTAAGACTAACAATTAATACATACGCACACTCGCGTGTTTTTCCTCGAGAGTATTAAGGCGAACCTATTGTCGTGATGACCACAATATATTGAAAAAGGTAGGTTAGAAGGAAAGGTCATGGCAGGTAAGGGATTTTGGTTATGTTTGGGATTTGGGTAAAGATGGATCGGGAAATGTAAGGCCACGTGTGGTTTATCGGATCGATTAAGACACACCGCCCCGCCCACAACCTATCCGTTAACCAAACATGAATCGCTCTTCAAATTTACTGTTCAGTATACATTTAGTTTCTGAAAGCATGATTAGGGACTTGATATGATGATCGGGTTGATTAACAGAGCTGTCAATTAGAATTGAAAAATATATGTCAAATGGTTATTATCGAATGTTTGATGAAACTTTACATGGGTAACTTTATCTTCGTTTTAGAAACTTAAACTGATTTCAAACCAAGCAAACAATCAACTTGACGGTAACAGTTGTTCTAGTTAAACAACATTTTGATCACCCTTTCAGAAACTGGATATTAGTGTTCTACTGGATACTAGTTTCTTTTAGATGATTTGGATTAATTTATATGGATGAGGGCATATCTTTGACCATATTTGCCAAAGCCTTAGCTATTAAGATCTCTCTATAGGTCCTCAGTCAAGTCAAGCCCTAGTATATATTATGCCATTTGCGAGTTCCCAATTTGAACTTGCGTGTCATTTATTCCGCCTTCATATAGATAACAATGAAGCTTTACTTTAATTGTTTTAAGTTATCAAGTTTAAGTATTCTTTAAGCAATTAAAGTGTGTAAACTGAACTACAGTAATATGGACATACCTTGCCGCGGGATGAGATAGTTCTTGGGGGGTCGTCCACGTTTCCTCTTAAGAAGTAGCTGTTGTCCAGATGGAGTGATGTGTGGGATCTGTGCCGGGCTGGGACCCATGACGGTGCCGCTGGTTAACACACAACCTTCCATGTCTGTGGAAACGTAAATTAAATAAATATGAAACTGGGCAAGGTTACCAACTTTATTTTTTTATGAATTAGTGAAAAACTTAAAAAGATTTAATTTTTTTTTTAGTAATAATGTATCTTACTTTTAGCCACATTTTAGGTATTAAATTTGAAACATTTTAATCGTGTTTTTAAAGCAAAATATAACATACAGAATCGGCTATGTTACTGATTCTCAACAATATACCTTCCTACCTAGTTATATATATTTAGAAATAATTATAAATGTGAATGTGCCCTATTTTTTCGGTCTTACAATGACGTCACAAGTACTGCTTAATGATACAATGCAGAGATTATTGCGTTCAATAAAGCTGGTCACTGAAGTGCTATGCTTTGTTGGAAACCAGTTTTATTAACGGTCGTCGATTTGTCTGGGGCAGCGACGGACATTTGTGTTTTTATATTAAAACTTTTCATGGTCGTTTTTGGTTTGGATAGCAATTTAGGGTCAGGTTTTTAAAGTATTTTAGGAAAGTAATGTAGATTATTATAAAAGAGAATCAAAACAACTTAGCAGTCTAGGGAATTATTTTTACGGCAAGGCGATATTGTCACATATGATAGAATTAATTTGAATTCATGTGCGTATATTTAGCTCATAATTTAATCGCTTTTAATATAAGCTCATAATTTAAGCGTTTTATCAATATAATTTATAGTCTTAGTTACTGGTAATTTAGTGTAAGTATTCTGTATCTTTGCAGTACTGTTGTTCTGCGTAGCTAGCGTCCTTAGTCGGCTCTTAAGAAACCCACGGGATGAATAGGGGTGTTGACACTCAGTTTTTTTAAATCCGTGACCACAAGACTTATATTTACTCTCTAGAGACAGAAATCTTCACAGTTTTGTTATTATTTTATTCTATAATGAAAAACTAGTTCACGTTGAAAATTTATAAATACACCCTTACACTGTTCATTCTGAGAGTTTCGTACGAGCCAGAAGTGTCGTTACAACACGGACATATATTTACCCATGGAAGTCTTAGGCGGGCGACCCCTCTTCTTCTTAATCTTAGGGGTCAAAGGCAGCGGCGTCTTGCGGGGCCGGCCGCGGCCGCGGCGCGGCGGGTCGAGCAGGTTGTCGGCGTGGATCTCGTTGCGCACCGGCTCCAGCGTGGAGTTGAGCACCACCGGGCTGGCGCTGGGCGCGGCGCGCGGCGGCAGCATGACGTCACCGCCCGGCGTGAACACCAGGTGGCCCGACTCGCGGTGCGTCGTGCGCACCATGCCCGACATCACCTCCGAGTTGTTCTCGCGCTTGCTCGGCGCCATGTCGTTGGCCATGTCTACCGTCGGGTCCTCCTGCATCCGACGATATAAAAGAGTTCAACGACGACCATCTCTTTGCTGCACTTTTGTGATTACAATGGAATCGCTGTATTTCATTTCGCTCACACACTTTCGCCCAATATTATCTCGTTCGTCGCTACTTTTATCTTTTTGTCTACAAAAATCCTTAATGTTTAATTAACTACAGTCCAAAAATTTAAGAATAGAATACACAAAGAGGTATCTGTAAGTCATTCACACGGTCGTTTAATTAAATAACAATCAAATCTTGTATGTTTTAACTATCGATTCATTTAGAAGAATGAGAAGTCTTTCGGGATCATTTACAGTCTACTGCAGCCTAATTTAGGTTGAAGAAAAATTTAGACAGTAAGGTAATTTACAAGATAACTACAATATTTATTATAGGATTATTTTAATTTATTTTTACTACTGAATACATAATTCAGAAAAATACACCAAATATTCTATAAACGGAAGTACAAATTGTTATGAGTCTCGGTAAAAAGACTATCCCAAATACACGATACTAGGGGTAAACATTTGTCTATTGTAAAAATTACAATCTATAATCAGTGAGCTGGAAGTTTAATAACTAAACTTCCAATAGAGCAATATTTGAGTAAGGTTTGATTGGAGGTATATGTAAAAGGCAGTGTGTGTACCCGCTCGCAGATCTTGGTGTGCACGCGCAGCTTGTCGGAGCGCGCGAAGGAGCGGCCGCAGCCGCCGCACGTGAAGGGGCGCTCGCCCGTGTGCGTCAGCTTGTGGCGCGTCAGGTGCGACGAGCGCTGGAACCTGACAAACATACCACATCTCTTACTCTGCCTCGAACTATCGTCAACCCTAATACTATACTAAATAAGGAGTCTGAGGCGACATTTCTTGCACAGATTGGTTGTGCGAGGCAAAAAGTTTCTTAAAAAGCGCATAGTGGTGGAGTATTATAATTATTATTTAATCATAATTATTATATACGAGAATTATAATTATACAAATGATGGACATATTTGGCATGTAGCAAATGACCTGACGAATCGAATCGTCTGTGGATCGCGCTGGACTATATCCTTCCTTCCGTATCGTGGTCTAAGACGCTTTTGGTACAACGGCAAATACGACCAGTCCTTCCCACAGAACTAAGATTATCTTCAATAAAAAATAATTACGGACAAACATGACCTTATAACAGGAGGTCATCGAACAAACGGTTTACCTGATGGTAAATGCCTACCAACAATCATGGTCACTTACAACTCAAGAATCACATAGATGTTCCCGCCCTTTGTGTTTTGAGCTGTGTTATCACTCCAGTCGAGCCAGCCCATTTGTGCCAAGACATGACATCCCCAGGGTTGTTACTATGTATGGCTCTGTATGGCTAGCAGCGGATGGATGCGGATTACCCAAGACCGGGATGATAGGCGCTCCTTGGGGAAGGCCATTGTTCAGCAGTGGACTGCAATAGTCTGATGATGATGGCTAGAACACTATTGTTACTGTTGGGCACGTACCTAAGGTCGCAGACATCGCAAACGTGAGGGCGGCCCTCTTGCGCGTCGTTGGCGGCCGAGTCCGACACCGAGCCGCTAGAATCTGTCTCCTCGTCGTCATCCAATCCGTGTTTGTTGCCTTTCTCTGTAATGCAATAGAAAATGAATTTGAATTGATTGTTATACCTCAAAAACATTGTTTACTTCTTATACAAATTCCGGTCTTATAGTTTTTTTCTTTTTACAACTGTGTTATTTCTTTACTCCTCAGTGTTAATAACCTTGTCAACTTGTCTCCCTTTTTTACAAGTCTTTCAAGTATAATCACCAGCACAAGAAACTTCGCTAGAAGGGCTGGTTAAAGTAAAAATTAGGTCTTTTGACGAACGAAAGTATATCCTATGTCACAGGCAGCGCAATTTCAACAATTTACTGTTCTAATTTTTATTTAAATAAACTAAATATTTGTAAGTGCATGTAACGGAAATTCGAATTAATGCTGTTGGTCTGGGAGAGTATTACAGTGTTCTCTAATGAGTACACTACAAGAGAAAAAAAATTAGAGGGATAACATCAGTGAGTAGATTTTTCAAGTCCTTTTTTATTCACAACACAAATTGAATCCATGCTGCATTCATTCTTTTACTAAGTAAGTATCTATTTGAGCTGGTTTTACTAATTTGGCATTAGAGGCATTCATTTGTTATTGTATAACATATTTATTGACTAGTACGTGAGACAAACTTATATAACTTGTCTAGATAATGTCACACTATAAACAACTCAAACAAACGAGCCTGCTTTACTACGCTGTTACAGCACAGCTGACATACACAGCGATAGCGGGAAAGAATTTAGTGGTCAAGAGTTGGGCACTATTTTTTTCTACACTTTCAGAGCTCTGACAGTTTATCTAGACATATTTGTAATTCGAAAAATAAGGAAGAGGCGAAGTGTGTTAGATAATCTTAACAGACGTTTAATGTGTCTGTTAATCTGTACTATACTAAAACGTAATTTACATTGATTTGTAAATTAAAATATTGCATTTTAATTAATATTATGATTGATATTGCTTACGATATTATATCGATATATAATACTGAATATAACGATACATTTAATTTATAAATCAGCTTCACTCACTCATATGGTTGGCTAAAACTTCTTTTTACAACCAAGTCGTAATTCTCTTCAGCAAAACTGCCAATTTTCTACCAGACAGAAACCGAAAGCAATTTAGAAAGATATTAATCTTTCAGTCAAAAAGGTAGGCTTAAAAGGAAAGTTTGTATTTATTCTCATTTTCAGAAGTTGTATGTCTAAAGTTTTACCAACTTTATTATTTTAATTACAAATATTTCACTCGTATTGTTAATTAAAATAAGATTTTCTCATAGAAATATTTGCTTTGTACATTAGATATTGTTTTCTTATACAATGAACGCTAATTGTTGGGAAACTAAGGATGCATTTTAGATTCTTGATGTCTTTGCGTAATGCATCTACCTAAAGGATATTTAATATAGCGTTACTCAACCTACTGCGTTTTCATATTAAACTAGCTTAACTACGCCTCGCTTCGCTGTGTCACATTAAAATTGCTTTGATGAGAAATGAGGAACAGAATTGATGCGAATTGATGACAAAAACCACATCTGAAGCAGGTTGTATACGTGTCAAAATTTTAATTAATTCAATCGGTGCAAAACTTTTTTCGAGTTTTTAGAGCGTACACAAACCAACTTAACATTTATATTTATATATATGTATATATACACAGATATTTAATAAATCAGGTGCATAACCTATATACAATTAATAAGGATTAATTTTGTTTATGACAAAAAAGTTATGATTTGAAAGTAGGTACTAAAATAAGATATGCAATAATTTGCAGTCTGTGCATAATTTAGTCTTCATTTTCTAAGTTCTAACTTAGAGAATAATAAAAAAATGCTAATGTTAATGCAAATAATTATAAAAGTTTTGGGTTTTATTTATTCTCCAGAATTGAGCATCAAATCTTGTAACCCTGCTCTTGTAACTACGTCAAATACAATATTTCTATGAAGAGAAAGTACAACACATATTATTACGATTACTTTCATTGGAATTCAAGGAAACAATTGAGGGCGGGTAATTTATTCATACGATAATAGTTGTCTTCAAACAACATTATGTTAATTTTACGATGAGGTACATTATGTCTCATAGTAAATATACATGTATTTCATAAATAACTTTGTTTTAATTAGCCCTAAAAAACGCAGTCTCCTAAATAAGGGGCAAAAGTCATAAACATGCTCTGAATGGAGAAACAAATGTATAGTGACGCAAGGTTTTATGTCAAAATCGTTTGTGATATTCACACGGGGTCCGGGAAGCCGTTCATCGTGTTGGAAATAGTCCATAAGTACACAAAAATATGCTACAGGACACTACACTTATAGGTATCCCTCACATCGAGTGGTTATTGCACCTTACTTCATGATGTCTCTGATCGATACAACCACTTGTCACATGACGTAGTTCCGTACTGCGCAGGAACCTTAAGGGTAGGTTCCTATTCGGCTGCACGAATGTAAGCGCGCGATATCACAAGGCATTACACAGACATGTGAATGAACTCAGCTAAATTATTTTCTTTTTACACTTTTTCGTTATTCACAACCGGTGATGTATAAAAACGGTTAGATAAAATACATAAACGGCTTATGGTGACGACAAGGAGTAAAAAAGCCAGTTTTGACAATTGATCCAGTTTTAATGTTTTTCGTCAGCATATATTATTATTTATTTATTTTTCTTTTTAACACGCTGATTGGTAGTTTATTAGTTATGTCAATTATGTTATGTCATTATTAATTGAAGAAAACTTGATCAAATATATCATTATTAAAACATACAAAATAAAAGTATTATAAAGTTTGTGTAAATAAAATTCTCTCTACTTTAAGAGACTTACACAAACACATTCTCGGATGTGTACGTTTAGTATCCCTCGATTCTTACGAAATATTTAAAGGCAAGTTTTTTGTTGCTTCGTCAGTTTACATTTCCTTTACTGAACATTAAAACCTTGCCGTGCATTATTTTAAGTTTTTAATCATTATTATATCATATTACATATATAAACATTTACGGTTTTTAAGCAAAAACAGTTATATTCTGTCCATTCATTTATTTTCTGTTTGACAGTTGCTTTAAACCGTAATTATGCCAGAATTGGTAAAATTATATTTTAAATGTGCTGTAAGAAAAATACTACGAGTATTTATGATAATTTGTACACATTATAATAACGAAAATGTAATTTTTCAAGAATTATATTTATTGTTGTATGCAATTAAAACAGTTATATTCTATTGTACGTAGTGATGTGAACGAATATGCTTTACTTCATACATTTGAAGAGATAAATGGGATCAAAATGTTAAAATTAAAGCTCATAAGTAATTGCTAAATGAAAAAGAATCAATTCTAAATGCCTGTGAAAGATAATCAAATAAGACGAAGATTGTTAATGAAGAATAAGTAACATAAGATCCCTCGTCCGCGATTGGAATCCATCCCTAAATCATTTTAGTACATCAAAAAGACAGAAAAGGTCAATTTAAGAGCAGTATGGTAATTACTACATTTATTATAATTTAATAAATATGTAATGTATTTACCTCTTTCTTCAATGTATAATGTCCCCTCACCGTCCGAGTCGTCCTGGTCATTATGGGTAGGTTTCTGTAAGACGGCCAGTTGGACAACTTTAATGCCCCCAAGCTTGGACTCTTCATGCCTGCTGGATTCGTTGCTGGTAGCACCTATGAGTAAAAAAAAAACATTATTAATGACTGTCGGAATTTTTTTCGGTCTGATTCCGAAACGGGATTCGCCGCTAATCCCCAAACATTCATTACAAGATAGGTACAGTCAAGAGCAAAAGATTTTAAATTAAAAATGCTGTACTGTCTGTAACAGTTAATAGAGAGTATATTTTGAGCTCAGTAAAATTTTAAGTACACCTACTACCATAATAACTTTTAGGATGGTATATAATTATGTTCATACATGGGAAATAACACGGACATTAGCTGACCACCCTATGACCACGGACCACAATTTTTAGCAAAATTATATTATTATTTACAATTGTTTTTTTGGCAAGAGGTAGGATGCAAAAAGGTCCTTATTAATTTAAAAAATCAAAATTAACGAATAAAAATTTGTCGATAGCACAAGTCGCAAAACATGATACAATTAATTATCATTTAAATTTTACGTCGTTACTTTTTGAAAATTATGTTATGGCTTAAGGAATTTATTTATGCTTTGTCAAGAGAACCTATGTACCCTGTTGAAATATGCATAAATACTGTCAAGCAAATATCTCTCAAACCCCCACATCTTGCCGATTTTTAACTTTAGTACCATTCACTTAATAGGCAAGCCTATTGCCGTCAATCGGCACCTTTAGGGATTATTAAAAGGAAAAAAAAGATAAGACGGGAAAGCCATAAGGGGGAAAGGGCAATTCATTATACAAATGGATAAGGCGGTTAAAGCGAAAACGGATCTAGAAATCTCGGGCTGGATTCATATATCGTTTACGCACTATTGCGATTCTAATCCAAGCATCTTATAGCAAGTCATTTTACGAGAGCGTTCACGTCGTTCATCATGAGTCCTTCCGATCGACGTCAACTTCCGCAAATGTACATAGGAATTACACAGAAGAAGTAAAGAATTCTGGGTGCGTTCATACAAATAATAGTACGTCTACTTTTGTCCGTCAATAATCTTGTCCGGAATGGAGATTCACGGATAACGGAAATCGGATGTAGTGCGTAAGCTATCATGGAAATTGTGCTACGACTAGTTCGGAATAGTTCATATTTTCAATAACGGCGTGCCCGGCGCTCGGTTGCCCAAGTTGTTTCTTCCACTCCTCTACGAGGACCTGGCGGAGTTGGGATTTCTGGTTCTCGATTTCTCAAGTCTAAGGACTCTGACTCGCCTCCTGCGCCACCGATACCCCCCGTCGATCGTGCGGTACCCCCTTATGACCCTGATGGCCAGCAATCACTGCGGTCGTCGCAGTAGTGCGACGTTACTGGCCTTAAGCCCCCCCCCCCCCCCATACTGGGGCTCCATAAAGGGCCACAACCGCACCAAAGCACCGCTAGATCCGGCCCCAACCTGAAACCTCTTCAGGTTGGGGCCGGATCTAGCGGACCACCAGTACGGTTTCCGTCAGGGGCGCTCTACCGTGGATGCGATCATGCGAGTGAGATATCTGGCGGAGGAAGCATTTCTTGACGAGGCGCCATGCGATCACTCTTTCAAAGAGTTTCTTCAAAGAGTTTGCACACCTCGTCAAGCAACACAATGGGCCTTTAGGCGGATTGTGAATCCGCCGGGCTTCCTCCTTTCGGATATTGTCTTCCACAATTTCGGAAACTGGCCCCTCCACTTGGAAACAGGCAGCCGACGGTCCCCTCAAGCAGCTCTGACTGAAGACACCGGGTCAGCGGCGGGGCCCATGGGCTCATCTTGCCCCTAACCATACGGTAGGGGCGTCCCCAAATATGTTTATCCCCTGTTACATTTAATCCACTAACGAACCTCAGATATTTTAAGTTTTATATTTTTATTTTCTAAATAGTCAGAAGTTAACTAAACCTTTTTGACAAACTGCGTTATACTTGTAGGTACTCATTAAAACTTTCTAGTTGACTTATCGTGATGGAAAGCATTAAACCATAAAGGAATATAATTATAACGACATAACCATATAATTAAAAAGTATATGCCTTTGCGATATATCCAAAATTACTCTGTACCTTATGCTAGTTGGTACTATAATAGTGTGAGGTTCTATAAAAAGACATTTCTACAAGGTCGGCGATTTAAGCCTCCTGGTGTTTCTTGTTTGCCACTTTAGAAGTATAAAAAAGGTAAAAGCGGGTTTATTTTAGTCGAGAATTTTGTGATAAATATCCTTTAAAACTACCCGGTCGAGAAATTCAACCTGGATAGTAGAACAGAAGGCGCGCTACTAACACCGCCGTACCAACAATCAAATCCATTAAAGGAGAAAGCTTGAGACTGTATGTTTATACAAAAAGCCACTGCGTATTATGACAAGCGGAAAGAACACGTTAAGTACTGATATAATTTCACATTAATATCACGAATTAATAATTTAAATTAAATAAATGTACATTTTACTAGCATCTACTGTGTGAATGACTTTTTATAAGAGAATAACAAAGGAGTACACTATAGATATCCTTGGATTAACAGACAATAGAGTAGCGAATAAATTAAATACTTCCATCAAAATGAAAAACCGTTCTATTCGTATTCAAATAGGGCTTAAAATACAATGAGAGTTAAAAAACGAAAACGTAGTGTAAGGGATTCTACACACACGCATTGGGTTCGTTGAACGATGTTAGGCCGACGCGACGGTCGGCGCGTGCTGTCTCGAGTGGGCCTTCGACCAGTAACCGGCATACAACCAAGTGACCATGAGCTAAGATTACGGCGCGAGTCAATGTATACCTCGAGAATTTTGAAGTTAACAAAAAAGTAAATTATTAAGTTTTTAAAAATTTAATTTTTCCACTAAAACATTTCGTGATAAAATATAAATGTTAATAACTCCTCTAACAAATTTAAGATAAAAAGTAATAATGAGGCAAAATTTTAATGAACTCGCTCGTCTGGAATGCATTTCTGCAATAAAAGAATTCTTTAAATACTACACTCGGAATGAGACGAAATAAAAAATAGACAAAGACCGTTTTTTTCCGCATCTACGTTTTGTTTAAAATAATACAGTTTCGTAAACTTTTGAACTCGCCGAACTTTTGTAACACCGCCGCCTTTGTATTCACGCCACTAAAATAAGTTGATAAAGGTGATTGCACATGAAACAATTTACCAATAAGTATATTAGAATCGTTATTATTATTATATTAATAAATTGTCAATGTGTTAAGATAGAGGACTAAAAATAGTACCTTCACATTTTGTCATTGTGTGTGTGTGTTGTATACCTTGCATTCCTTAAGATAGTATGGCAAACATGTTGTTCTTTGTCTACACTAATTCAAGCTTGTAATTACACTAGTTTAAAACATAAGGTAGACAAGGTACTTGTCGATAAATCTGTCGTTTGTCGTGTGCAAAAATAATTAAATTTCATTATTTAATTATTATTTAAAAAAAAAAATATATGTATGAATGTAAAGTTAAAACATATCTTGTAGAACGTGCTAAGTAGACCGTGCCAACGTAATTTTCATAGGAAATTAATCAAACAGAACTGTGTAGTAATCATAATTATTCTAAGATAAAAAAATTCTTTGTTTGTCTCGCTCTGTTCACACGGAGCGCATATTTTTTATACACTATTTTATACTTACAAAATATTATACCTAATAATACATTTGGAACGTTGAGTTTTATTACTTTGTGAATGCTATTATGATTCATTGTGTATAATGTTTTATACTACTCGCTTATATTTTTTAAGTTAAAATATGAATGTAATTTAAATTTTGTAGTATTTAAAAGTACGACCGTTCAAAATACTTGTCCTAAAAAAAAAACGAGTGAAACCGGATGCGAAACATAGATGTAAAATAATATAGTCGGCATGTAAATTCGAACAATGGTAGAGTTAAAACAAATAAACATATAGCACAATGCTTTATAACTGTGTGGGTTCGTGATTGTGCAAAATTGTTGTGAAAGGAAATTATAGTAATTTATTTTCTTGCTGGCGCGATCTATTGTACTGTTTCTTGTTACAATATCGACTGATGGCTCTTTTTGATATAAACCTTTGTTCTTGCAATTTCGATTCTTTTTTATACAAAGTTTTCTATACCATCGCAGGGGAGCATTGATCAAAAATTAAGTTAGCTATATTTTCCAAGTTTAATTCTCTAGTTGACAAACTCCTAATATCCAAATCCGTTTACATTTTTCCAATGCGCTCTACGCTCGGCATTCTAAGTTTAAAGATAGGTCTTCTTAATACTATTATTGATGAGATTGAAATTGATTCATAAAATAAGGTTCTAAATTTATACATTCTCACTTGACACAGAAGGTTCTATTAGTATCTCGTTCTTCCGGTCTCGTGTATTATCACTTTCTCCGAGACTCAATCATCATGAGTCACAGTGTGCAATCATGTGAGTCACAATATGTAAAATGTCTGTATTTTCCATTATTGTCGCTAATTAACAAATAGTCATTACTAATTTAAAAAAATCTATAACTAGCGACTACCTGGCCACGCAGATTCAAACGATTACTACAAGGTCCTTTAAGGTCCTACAAGGTCGTAGCGTGATGTTAAAAAATTATGATATTCCTCAGGAATAGACACACACATGAATTTTATTATTATATTAATATAGATTGAGGACCATTCGAAATATTAAGATTTTTTTTTTCTAACCTGAAACGCAGAGAACAGAATATTTAGATCGTTATAAAAGAGTTAAGTTTAAATCCAATAAAAAATTATGTACTGTGACATTTTATTATTCATTTAATTTCTTTCAAGAACGCGATACACTCATAATATGTTAAAACATCTTTGTCACTTTTACCTCGAAACGATGTTATGTAGTCCGTTATGTTAAATACGCAATTCATTTGCATAAAAAAATAAAACTCAGAAAAATAATATCCAGTACAAAGTAAATAATTGGAATGTAAGTTTTAGAGGTATGGAAAGAAATAATTGACGTTGGTTATTAGGTACCGTTGCGGTGTTCGTACACTTCATCTATAGATAGTTAAATTTATATTAATAGTAATTACAGTTCAGAGCTTCAATACTGAATAGAATTAATATTGAAAGGGAGTAAGTCAGAAGGTAAGGACAGGAATATGGCTTTTTGAGAGAAACAGATCTTTTTTTTTTAAAGACAACTCCCGCATTAGGAATATATCCTGTGTCGCGGGGACTTTACAAACATGCATGAAACGGACACAAAGAACACCCAGACTCAGAACAACAGATTGTGGATCACACAAAGTGTCATCCCATGTGGGGATCGGACCCACAACACTCAGCGTAGTAGTGAGCGGCGTGGCGACCACTTAAACCGCTACGCCATCCGTGCAGATGAAGATGCGCAAGAGATCCAACTTGTCTGCTTCTCTCAAAAAGCATTTTTTTTCCTTAATGCTCGACTCCTATTGATGGTAGCGTTATGTTACATAGACTTTATTCATTCTCGATAAATGGGCAATCCAATACTAAAATATTTTTTTGATTCGAATCAGTAGTTCTTGAGATTAGCGCGTTCAACCAAACAAACTCCACAGCTTTATAAATATTAGTATACACTAAAAGTAATTGCAGTTTAAAAAAACACGCTTTATTAGCGAATCGAATTGATATTGAAAGGTAGTAAGTCCGAAGGACAGGAAAGGGATATTTCTTATACAAGGGATACTTGGGGAGCGAAAAAGTAAGTCGAGGTCAAGGTCGTATATTTTTAACTCGAACTGTTGACGGTCACTATGAGCCCTCTAAAGTTAATTTAATATCACTAGCTGTTAATAATAATAGTGGTTTATTGATTGATCATTTGATTTTATTACAAATAATAAAAATAGAACTACCTATATAACTGCACAATTAAGATTGTTGATAGATGTGATAATTTACTCGAAATGTCAAAATCAATCGAAAATAGAATATTATTGATTGGAAAATGAACAGAATTCTAAAACTTTATTAAAAACGACATAAAATGGGTAATAAATTATAAGTACTTTGGTGGACTGGTTTTCTTAATGAAATAAATTATTTTTTTTATTGATAAGCAAACGAGATCAATCAGAAGTGAATTTAAAAACAAGAATTATTTGCATAATCATATATGAGTATAAGAAATCATAATTAAACTTACGAGAAAAAAACTTAAATGTACCTACGTACCATTCGCCTACGTAACCAACCTAGCACGTGATATTTAATTATATATTATATGTTTATTAATCATTATTATTTAAAACTAGAATTAAAAACTACTTACCTTCAAATCAATTTTAACTATAAAGTAAGGACTTATAGTTAAAAGAGACTTCATATTTGTCCTAGCTGTCTATTGTATTTTGTCTATTGTATTGTCTATACAAGTCTTTTGTTTGATACGGTAGTTCACTGTAAACTTCAATTAGGCAATTTTTACTAAATTAGCCAAAATACATTCCATAGTAATTAGTATTAAATAACTACTTTTGATCTTTAAATTAGAATTCTCAAAAATTATCTTCATTTAATATTTAAACTAAAAAAAATATTTAAACTTGTTGTTTTTCAAGGATGTAATATATGTTTATTTAATCAAAATATTTACACTCATTATCTATACATTGCTGTCATCTAAACGGAAGTTCATTTATGCCTTTACGATAGAAATCTGGGGATCTATTATAGATTCGACAAACTGTGTGAAAGCATTGTGTACTGCCTCCTTTTTTCAAGAAAACTGCAAATCACGAAAAAAATGGTAGTCGTTCGAGCAAGGTCTGGCGAGTACGGAGGATGGCGTATGGTTTTTAACTGCAGCTCCTGTAGAGTTACAACGGTTTCTCGTGCAGTGTCTTGCGTTATTATGGAGCAATAATGGTGAAGATCGATTCACGAGTCGGGGCTGTTTCACTGCCAGTTTTCGCCATCATTATTCGAAGTCGGCACAGTAAACATCTGCTGTTATTGCCTGACCAGGACCTGAGAAAGCTATAGAGAATAATACCAGTGAAGGGACCACCAAACAGTTACTATTACCTTTTTATTGGTGAGCTTTGCTTTAGGGCACTGTGTTTGACTTGGGGTTAGCCAATAAACTTTTATTATGATATAATTTCTTCATTTCAGTACCGATTAAAAAAGGCAACAAGTTTCAACACGCATTTCTTTCTGCAGATCAGTCAATATTGTAGGCAGGGTAACGCCAAACCTTGCCACTAATTCCTAGGTAGGTAATTAAACTAGGACTATCGAAGTATCCAACTTTCACGTCTAAACTGAATAAAAAAACAATTGAAAGGCAAAAATCGAATGTTGCACATTTTTTTAAAGAAGAACTCACTCATAGGTATCATGTGAAGAAAGTTTCACACGAAAATTTCACACCATGAAGGTTTTATGTCAATTCAAATTATCTATTACTATACAACGGCAATTTCATACTTAAACCCCTATTATTTTGGTTCACATTTAAAAATGTGAAAATAATAACTAAACATTTTATTTTTCATATTATCGTACGAGTATAAGACGTGACTTTATGAAGGCAAGGATTTTTTTTCATAAAGGCAACTATCCAATTCTCGAAATGACGTTTTCTGCCGTCAGTTGTTATGCCGCATTTTTTAAATAAAGAATATTATGTGTTTTTACAACTAAATGTCAACTATAAAAAAGAAATCGGATGAGTAAGGGCAGCAGAATTCTCATCATTTATATAATTTTCGCAAACGTGTTTCTTGTTGAGAAATCACTTTTACACATATTAAGCTACACCCAATTTTATTCGAAGTTTAAATACACATAATCCTCTATATTTTCTTGTTTAAAAATATCGCGATATGTTTATCAAAACTTGCATTTTTGCTTTAAATACGGCAGGTGCATAAAGCTAACATTATATTGTTTTCATTATGCGGCCAACGAATGAATAACATTGTTTAATTTTTTAAATATAAATCGCATTGTTATTGGCAATACTTGATTTATTACTTCGTCTTAAATGTACAGCATATTACCACGGGCAAAGTCAGGTAGGTATATATTTTTTACTTAAGCGACCAAATACAAAATGTAGTCAGTATGTATATTTCAAAAGGCACGGCTAAAACAAGATTGAACACGATTACATGTCTTATATACATATATAATTTATAAGTATATTAATATTTCCCGTTGGTAACACGATTTAAGTTTAGGTATGAATTAGAATTCATAAATTTTCTGCCATTTTTAAAACTTTAATAATACGGTTTTATTTTTCATAGCTGGCAATTTTTTTTATTTTTAAACTTAATATTCGTTAGTTTCGAGATATAAAAAGATAAATTTTTATTTTTTTAAATGTAATTAAAATTAATAAAAATAAAAACACAGGAGTATAATATTTAAAGTAACGATATCAGACTAAAGAAAAATAAAAGTTAGATACAAAATTCAAGTTGGGGTTCTTTAATAACTTTGAAATTGTTCATGAATATTTATGATCACAAACTGTAGAAACGGAAACATATTTCTTTATTCATTTTGTATGTATACAGTTTCAGTACAAACTACTTACATATTCTATGCAATAAATATTCTTGGCATTATTATGTCATTATGTTGCACTTGTTACGCATCATCTGTTCTGTTTATAAATTCAAGAAATATATTAACTAAGCCATGTTTTCTATATTTCTCAATGGTACTCTCAATTGACGTCAATCGCATAATTTGTTAATTAACGCAAAAGTTTCATGTATTTCTACGCGAGAGAGGTCTAACCTCCAAATAATCCAAATATGTAACATTCCACGTTTATAAATGATGAAAACCAGAAAATATATTTTATATTTTTTGTTTTATTGGGTACCGCTTTGTATCAAAATACTGGGTCTCATTTACTAAGAATTGCCTTTACAATGAAGGGCATTATATATCACCTTTTTTTTATTTACGCCCGCTTTGACTTTAAGACTGCATTTGGGCATGACATTTAAAAATAATTTATATGGAAACGGAGAACATGTTAAACATTGTTATCATCGTAACAAAAAGTATGTATATATTCTGTTTTATTATAGCATTATACACATAGAAAAGAAACTAAATTATCCTAAAATTATTATACGTACGAAAAGCAAAAATAATTTAATGTTGCTTTATATAAAAAAAAACACTTTATTTTTAATGACTACGGTGGAGGTTTTATACGTACTTTTAACGATTATATGTGTATAAAAAGTTAATAGAGGTAAAACAAATAAAATGGTTGCCCTAAATTGGAGTTGGTCTTTTTTATTTATTTTTTTATTATATCTAACATCCCGTCAATTGCCGGTGGACCTCCAACAAAATCTCTTAAAGCTTTAATAATAAGTAAAGATTAAAATCCTTCTCAAATATGAAAAACACAAGCGTGGAGAATTGATTTTTAATTTCGAAACGAAATAATAATACTTTTTAAATAATAATAATGATTTAAGAATATCATTTTTTTGGAACTTCGAATTCTTAAGGTGAGATCTGTAAATAGTTTGTGTAGTTTTGGGCTTTTAATAAGAAGAAGGCCGGTAGATTTAAATCTCAAGAAAATAATATGTTAGTACTATATTTTTTTAATAATTAATTATGATATTTTCATTAGATAGATAGATGCAGAGATACCGCAATATACTGGTCAATGACTGTAGCAAAAGTTAATAGAATGTAAGGTTAGTATGAGAACATTTTGAATGTCCTCAAATATCTCCCGGTAATCCTCTTCAATGTTTTCTGAAGTCTTACAACTAAACCTCACCTGGCGACGTGACCTTATTGCGCTCATCAGTCTTATTATCCTCTTGGAAGCGAACAGTCATCGGTTTCTTCTTGGCTCTGAGTCTGTCATCATCAGGGGATAGAATTGAAGCACGCTTCTTGGGGCGTTCATCTTCGCTCTCGCGTTTGTTGTCGGATGTGGACGATGCTTGGACCGATGACGAAGCCGCGGCGGCTGCTGCCACGGCAGCTGCTGTGGCTGTTGGAACAATCGTCTTATTTAAAAAAGAGTTTCTTAAAAACACAACGATAATCTATACTAATCCATCCTATTGCTAATTTTACTAATTACTATATACTACGAGTATATACTCCCGCTGAATCGATTTAGATTAAATTTGGTATACAGATAGTCTGAGTCCCGGGAAAGGGCATAGGATAGATTTTATGCCAGAAATTCTTTAATGGGGTGAAAAGGGGTTGGAAGTTTGTATTAACTGCTTAACCCATTTAGATGAAATTTGGTATGGAGATAGTCTGATTCTTGAAGAAGGACATAGGCTCCTACCGCGATAACCGACATACACGCGAGCGGAGATGCATGCAAAAGCTAGTAGTAAAAATATTATACACATGATATTAGGAACCTTAAACTATAATCGATGATAAGAATATTATACGTCGCACATCTCACACACGGCTGATTCCAAACTAAACAGAGCCTGTGCTATGGTAACCAAACTGTTGATAAACATACTTATATGTTTTTAATTACATACATATTTTAGATAAATTACACCCAGACACAGAAGAAATGACCATGCTCATCACACAATATTTGTCCTGGGTGAGAATCGAACCCACGACTTCCGGCATAATCGTGATAGAACCATGTTTCGGGACATATGGACCGGCTCGATCGAAAACTGGTGGCGAGCAATTCTTTTAGATTATTTTTCACCGAGTTATTCAGCGGAATTAAAGGGTGGCAACGGACTTGTGTCTCTTGAACAATAGGTACGATAGTAATTTACCATCGGACGACCCGTCTGGGCCTCAATTCTGCTATTTTATGTTAACGCCAAGCCACTGTCATTCCTTTGACACGCTATTGAGATGCCACTGACGTCGGTCAAAATATCGGTATTCTACTAACATAAATTCACAGTGTCAATAGACTGTCGATATAGTAATATAGGTCATCAATGGTGATATCAACAACATTGTCATATTATGAAAATTAAATATATAATTTTCTTACTTTAAAATGTACCGTTTACCAAACTATTACAAAAACATCGACGACATTTGTATTAGTAACAAGTCATCGGGAGGCCATTGGTTTTACATAGTTTCATCGACATTTCATCGAAAGTCTATTGGTACAATATTAAAATAGCAAAATTGAGGCCCTGCTCGTTGCCCGTCGCCCCCTATAGCATAGAAAAAAAACTTGAATTCTCTTCTGTGAACTTCTGCCATTCATCATAAAATTTTATTTTTATTGTAGGTCATTTTTTAAATCTATGTTTTTTTTCTGCCTCACTTATAAATCTACATTCGATATTTTAGAAACATTAGAAGTAGCTGGTCTTTGAAAATTTCCTACTCATTAGGACTAATGTTGCGATTGTTGTAAAATTTTCCATTAAAGCGAAAACATTTTCGAACGGGGTATTTTCAAGTGCCGATTTGAAATAATTAAATAACACGTCACAGTAATTCCCAGATGTTACTTTGATTCTTTTGTAAATAAACAAAACTAGTCGTAAACGTTCGAATGTTTCTTAAATCGTTCTGGGTAGTTCTTGATTGCTGTATTGTTTTTTTGTGCAGACACCCGCTTTGTTATTGTGATCGCACATGATTTTTTAGTATTTTTTAAAATTTGTTTTAGGCATATAAAATCCCATATGTCACATACCACTCTCCAAGAATAAGAAAAGAAGTAAGCGTAGTCCAGACCAATAGCGAATAAGTGTTAAGTACGTATGATTATAGTATATAGTAAGAGTAAGTAAATTTCTTTAATATGCTTTTTATTTTTTCAATAAGTTTAAGAAGGAGAAAGCACTATATGAGGCAACTCCACAGATATTCTAAAAGGTAGTATTCCAATTTCAAATTTATAAAAGTAAGTCTAGTGCGATTTTATGATACCCGGAAGCAGTAACACGTCAAATACAGCTATAGGTATTTGTGCATTTAGTTGACAGACAGTTAAGGTAAGTACAACGACTTAAGAACTTTAGACTTTAGATGCAGGTTTAATTAACGATAATTTTCCTTAACTGTCAAAATAAGTATTAGTGAACTTAGATATAATAGTAGGAGTAGATTTAAATCATGTCTTACAGTACTGTATCTAGTTCGGTATGTATATTTTTTGGTTCGGAAATTAACGCAACTCATATGTATTACGTACGGTCATCACTGCCAGTGATACCTGGTCAAAACGTCAGGCAATTTAAAGGTATATTGTACCCATACAATAGATACATATATCAATAAATACATCATCACATCACATCATCAGCCTTTAATAGTCCACTGCTGGACATAGGCCTCTCCTTAGAAAGGAGGTTTTGGCCTACAATAAATACAATAGATACAAATATCTGTCGATCGATCGATCGATAATTCCTGCAACTATAATCATTTATCATGGAACGCAAAGTATAGAACTTGTAAAAATCAGAATATAGTATTTCTAGACATAAAAATATACTTAACTTAATCTGAAAATAAAATAACACATTGAATAAGTATTTCCGAAAATGTTGGTTTTGTTCATGTTGCGATTTTTAATGAAACTTAGAGCAAGAACTGAGTAGCTTTGCTTAGACCGAGGAGAATTATATGAAGCTTTATAAAGGATTAGCTATTGTTTGCTTTTCTTCAACTTACTTTTTTAACGTACTTTTTTTTGGATGAATAGTAAGTATCCTATTTAATTTTTGTAGACACGTTGCCGCGTGTATCATTGCATGATGATCGGTTGAGTAGTTAAAGAGTAAAATGTATCAAACAAATTCACATTTCATAAAATAAATTTTTAACTGACCTTGGTCATGTTCAGTCTGTATGCTGGCTACAACACTCCCGCTGCGAGAAGCGTGCATAGCCTCTTCCATTTCTCTAGCTGCGGCAGCCAAGATGTTGTTGACTGCCGTATGGGTGCCTGGAGGGTCTTCTCGACGGCGTCTTCGGATCTCTTCAGCACGCATCATGGATTGTTGATACATGTGAATCTAGGAAGATAGTTTTTTATTAGTATTTGTGAACAAGAAATATACACAACTATTTTATTTATTTACAAGGAGAGTGTACACAAATTTTATGTAGAATTAGGAAGAAATTATCATAAAGTATAATTATAATTATAGTTCTGTTCTGTTAATTTCGTACAGGAAAGTTGCAATTGCAGTATTACCGTCTCGGTCGAACCGAATGATTGCGTTTTATGAGACTTCTCTTTTTCATCGTTTTTGGATGTAGTATAATGCTTCTAAGAAGCTAGCCATCCATATTGCTCTTAACATGTATTGAAATATACAATTATAGTACATACAATGTAAACAAAATGTTTTGTTATATTTGTAGATATAAATAACCTGTTTAACATCAGACACTACGTTTCCAAGTTTCGGAATCAACAAAAAAGATTAATCAAAAAATCTAACAATCTACATAATAAATTATTATATAGAAACATGTGGTTTCTTAATCTATATATTAACTAATTAACTCGTCACATATAGCGAACACCGATCTATATCTACCTTTTTTTGAAGTTGCCAAAAAAATGGACTGGAGCCTTTACTACTGAGGTTTAACAACATATCATAAACAACTATCATTTTTTTTTGGAGAATCCACATCTGTATCCCACCCATATGGATTCTCCGACAGCAAGGCATCATTGCGCCGCATACTTTGAACGTGACCATTAAATTGTAAGTAAACCATGGGAAGATATAACACTGGACTGTAAAACATGAAAGACGAGATTGTATTAATATCGCATCGTATAGCATGCTTATGTCATGTCATGGACATGTCATGCGGAGGAATAAGAAGAATGTAGCCAAGAAAGTTTTAGGTATGGGAGTTGAAAGGTACAAGAGAAGAGGAAGGCCAATGAAAGTTGGATGGAAGTTGAAAGGAAGAGAAAACTGTGAGATGACGAATTCTATTTTTATTGTACAGTTTCATTCTGATACTCTTATTACAAATAAGTTGCAGTTCCTTAACAATTAAAATAATAATAATAAAAACCTTTATTCAGATCAACTTAGCCTATTAACAATATTCTAAAACAAACATAAAACGTAAAAACTTATTCAAGTCTTATACAATTAACTTATACAATTAATAGTCATCGAAAATTTAAAGATTAGAAATTGTACAAATCCTACAAGTTTCTGCAAGGTCTTTCACACGATATTAGGCTGTGGAATGCACTGTCGTTATAAAGTTACACATCTGACTATCTCGTTTTGTTACCTGCCTAATACATTGTATTATATATTATTTAGCTTCCAATAGATTGTCGTATTTCGTAGTTTGCAATCAACTTATTGGAAGTTGGCTATAAGGGATTGCAATCAACGATAAATAATATTTATTAGTTTATGTTTATTTTAATTCTGAACATAATTCCTACTAATATTATAAATGCGAATGTAACTCTGTCTGTCTGTTGCGTTTTCACGCCTAAAATATTAACCGATTTCAATGAAATTCGGCATGGAGATACTAAGATTCTTGAGAAAGGATATGTGCTTTTTACCGCGGTAACTGACATATACACGGGCGGAGCCGCGGGCAAAAGTTAGTAGGAAATCCAGCGATCCAAACAAAAAATTGTAAGAAAATATGGCACCTAAATATAGATTACCCATCACTCAATGGTGGGTGTCACAAGCGGCAACTAATGGAGTTTGTAAAATGATGACATAAAAAAACATATAATAATTATTAAAAACGACGGCACCCGTATATTATAAACATTGCCGTCTATTCTGTACCATTAAGTTGTAGTACCAATTGCACAATTAATACTACAATTTATTTGAAAATATGTCTAATCTCTATATATGTCTCTCTCTCTAAGATCTATTCTCGTTATTGAGTTTCACTGTAATTCGTCGTTCTTTAATGAAGCCTTTCTATACTCTTATTAAATGTAATTATTTAAGTGTTTAAAATTAACGTTCTATTATGGTATTAGTATATACCAGACCAATAGTTAGAACAGTGCGTTTCTAGCATGGGTCCAATTTAGTCTCTCAGAAAATGGCCGTCACTACTATTTGGTCTGGTAGAGACCTGATATTTTATTTGGAAAACTTCTGGAGTTTTTTTATAAAACTCTGTTCCTAATATTTGTAACAGTACTGCATAAAGTCCTAATAGGGTTAACTTTTATGTTCCCTCGGAAACATATATTTCAAAAAACTTAATAAATTTATGGAATATTATATTTACTTAAACTGTGAACTAAAAAAAACTTTTGTCATCATCATTTCATTTTTTATCATCCTAAATTACAGGTATTTAAACAAATAAAATATTTGAGTTTCAATAGCGTTTAAAACTCTAATGGTGAATTGTTCAGTATATTTATGCATAATATTTAATATACATGTGAATTTTAAACAGAATAAGTAATAATATGAAATTCCTAGATTTTTACTACACTAAAGTTTGTTTTTAAAGGTTCGATCGTGTTCACATTCCAGTTAATATCATTATTACATAACTAGAAACTATTCAGACCTCCTTGTTATATCATGTACATGTATTTCTGACCTAAAATCGATACTCGATTTACTTCAAGATAGTTTACTGTGGCGTGGTACGTGAAATGTTGTTGAATCGTTATCATTTTATTATTTTAGAAAATTTATTTTAAACTTCTTATACTTTCGTGATCCATCTTCAAAAAAAACCAAAACGAATGAGGTTGATTAATGACCAAGTCAGCCATGGGACGTTCTCTATGAACACAGGCCTCCCTCAATGCCATCATAAGTCAGTTTCTTTTGATATCCTATCAAGTAAAATAATCATTTGAATTTAAAATCATTGCCGCAGCTTAGCCGAGCTACTGCGTTCTTACTGAATTTGATTAATGATAATATCTTATTCACCAAAAAGATAGTTCTCCACTTCTTTTTCTTGTCAATATCCAGACAAATGATAGGTAGTCATGCCTTCCCGTGGGGGTTATAGACCACTCTAGTGGTACTTCTACAGTGTAACAGTAGGCAGTATAACAGCCTTCACTAAAACTATTGTAGACGTACTCTAGTCGGTTTACGGCCGGAAATAACATGACAAACTGCACATTAAATTAATCATAGAATTATAGTAGTTAAGGATGTATTGTGTCATGCCTGTAGGTACTACAGTTGTGTGCACAGTCTGAAATTAAATAAACGTTTCGCCATTTTTATTTACTCTGTTAAACGTAAGATTCCATATTACAATTGCTTTATTTTAAATTCGTTTTATCTACGTGTAAAAAAAATGTATATTATTATTTTCTTGTTTCATCGTGGCTTCGAAAAGCTATAACTAAAAACGATTTTTTTTAATCTGTCCCAAAAAATTTTTTTTGGGTAATAATATCTACAAGAATGTACAAGCGAAAAAAACCAGGTAGAAGTTAAGTGAATTAGGAAACCATTTTACTTTAATGTTTGTTTAAGATATTACTACTATTACACGCACTATTCAGCAACAGCTAGTTCGAGTTACAGGTATCTTACCTGCTCGAGCTGTTTCTCGAGGTTGTAAGTTTTTCGAGAAAGATCGAGATTGAGGAAGAGAATGTAAGAGGTTAAATAATAGTTTACACTTCCTTAACCATTCGTATAAGCAATATCTTCTTATTAAAATTGGTTACTTATTGGCTACTATTAATGTTTCCGATTAAAGGTAAATTACTCGTCCCCTTTTCAAAAGTGGGGTTAAAATATAGCCGGCAAAACGTAGGCGTATAATTCCTACTAATTTGCCTACCCCTTCTATGATATGGGTCTGAATAAGGGTATGTGTGTTTGTTAAGTATTTAATTAAACACCAGTAGGTTTACAAAATCCTTAGTTAAAGCACCAAATTAGTTAGGTACTGGTGTTGAAGGCAGTAATACCGCGCCAACAAGCCATTCACCATGAGCAGCGCGGTGGCCTCAATTTAAAAAATATCAACGACAAAAATATAGGAACTTCTTTGAAACTAGCTTTCAAAAGCAAGCAGAACACTGGCAATTTATATTTCAAAATCTAAATTCTTAATCAGATATTAAAAACTATATAATATTAAAAATATTCATTTTTAGCCTACTAATATTTTACGTAGAATGAGAAACAATTGATGTCTACAATGTTTACTCCTGTATAAACACATGCCTATAAACTATATATAGCTATAAGTTATTTGATTGGTCGTACATAAAAATAGTCGTAATGTAAATAAATACGTAGACTATTTTGCCGCGCATCCATTTGTAATTAATTTAAAATAAATCGGGATAATGTTAGATTATTGCTTTATATAATATGGGTTTGCCATAAACAGCTTCTCTAACATCTAAAAAGAAATACTTTTCACTCAAACCTCTAAAGCTGGTGGATATTTACGGGGGTTTAAAAAACTTCGATAATCAAGGTCTGAGGGCCAAGTGCGAGTTTATTTCACTTCTCGATCGTCACGGTGACCGCGTTCGACGCTACGATTGGCCCGCACTGAAATCTCCACCAATCGCAACGTTAAACACGCTCGCCGTCGAGACCGAGTCGATGTGAAATAAACTTGCACCCAGCCCTCTGAGCAGTCCACTCTCTCTGGTATTGAGCATAGTGGATATCGCCTCTATTCTTCTAATCTACTTCAATTGTCATTATAAGATTAAGAAGTAGATTTTTTAGTTTTATGGTTTTATTAAGGTATTGCAAAATATTATGCCATCACATATAAACGTACTAACATTTCAGAATGTATATAATTCGATGAAAATTCCGTCATAGTTCAGATATATAAATGATATGACATTGAAATAGACTTTATCGCATAATTATTGTATTTTTTTTATTTCTTTAACCAAAGTTATCTAAAAAAACAAAAATTATCTTTTATTTTAATACATTATTGTTTAATAATATTCAATGTAGATAAACAGCGATTAATAGTGCCTACATGGAAAATTTCCTCAATAACTATTAAGCGGCATCAATTTAAAAAA